TAGTTGTTGTAGATTTAAATTGGACGCGTAATTAAATGAAAAATTAAATAATTTCCTTTTTACTTCAAAAATTTGTTTCTATTCTTTCCACTGGGCTTTTTTCAAATGTCCAAGACAGAATTAAATAACTTTAGATACATTGACGGAATTGAATTTACCTCTTGTTATTCCAATGTTACTCCAATAGCTTGACTTTGAAGCAATAAATATTTTATTACATAGAATTTTTTGTTGATAGCCCGTACATCGACTATATTACTATCAGACAATCGTTATTTTGTTATCTACCTGTATGTGTGTTTAATCAGGATCTGATTAAGAAATCATTTATTTATGATTATTGAAAAGTTTACGCGACATACATTTTATTTATATACCACTTTATTTACATAGTTTATTACATACGTAAATAATATACATATACGATTGATTAAAAAGATAAAAAATTGTATTTATCTCAGTCTCCGTCTTGTCTTGGTCTGGCAATAAAGAACAATATGAATAATAATATGGCGAAGTGTGCTTTACCCGATAGATTCATAGAAGGGGTGGTAACGTGTAGAAATTCCAATGAAGATGCAACCGATGCGTTTGGAGCGCAGGAACATTTTGGCGTTGTTGTTGTCGTTGGGGATGTAGTGACGATCGTAGTTTGCCGAGATGCGCTTCCTTCCAAATGATCACTTAACGTTGCATTTGGATGCTTGATGTCGTAGAGAAATTCCGGTATTATTGGAACTGGAAGAATTCATGTAGAACAATGAGATCGTGTAAAGCAAGTGTTTTTAAGATTCGATCACATCATAGGGTTTTATGACATCATAGGCGAGAAATGACGTGCAGTAAGTTTCTTGCAATCTACAGCTTTACTCTTTTGTTTTACCTGTAAAACATAATATAAATTCGCAAAACATAATATAAATTCGCCTATAAAATATGCGGTAAACTTAAAGATGTGCCCCTGTCCGATATGTCACGAAGAATTGCAAAATAATTTCTGAAATAACGAATCATTTTTAAGCCATGCTTAGCTGTCACGTCCTCCTGTATACTATTACGTTTTTGAGAGAAAACTAAAAAACAAAGTTATATGACGTAGGAAACTTATCGCATGTCATCTCTCGCCTATAATGTTACAAAGACCAATATGGCTGCGAGATAGTTGAGCCTTAAATATTATTTATGTAAAATATACAGAAGAAATATACAAGAGATTACGCACATCATAGAAAATTTATAATTTAGAAAATCTGTCGAATGTCTTTGCTAGGATTATGTATGATCCAGTCGTAATAAGTTGAAAGTTTATTAAAATTAAAGAAACGCACATTTTTCCTATTTTACGCGATTTATTTTCAAATTTATAAAAAAATAATAGAAAATAACGAGTTTATAGTTTAGAACACCTTTTGGAAACGTTTCGCCAATCGGGGGTGTAACTCAGTGGTAGAGTGTCTGCTTCGCATGCTGAAAGTCCTGGGTTCAAATCCCAGCACCTCCAACGCTCCTTTTTTTTTTCGCTGTAATATCTTTGTCTTGCACAGCATCTCGTAATTTATTATTCCAATAAAAATTTTAATGATCTTAAAAATATTAATAAATTACTTATATATTTAAGAAAGATTAAAAAAAGAAATTATTTTATCAAAATGTAATACCTCAAAAATATAAGCGAAAACTATTTTATTTATCATTTTATTTATATATGCAATTTATAATGTATTTGTAAGTAATTAAAAATAATTTTTTTACAAAGAATGATCGAAAGAGGATCTCGCGATTTGTTCAACAAGCGTGACACGCTCGCAGGTCGTGTATTTGTTACACGACGATCACACTGCATAAATGCATGACCACTTATCCGGATTGGCGGCGCGATACACAAAAGTCCATACGTTCTTTCGACATTCCGGTTCGGTACGATAAACGAAACGACGTTTTCTGAATTAAACATAAGTTTGCGGAGACCGAGAAGAGTGGTGCCCATCCCCCCTTCCCCCTCGATAGAATTCAACGGAATGATGGTAGGAGTGTTAAAAATTAGAAAAGCTGTGCAGAAATTATGTTGCAATATAAATTAATCTCTTTAAGAATAAATTTTTAAAGTTAGAAGAAAGTTATTTAATTTTACGTTTAATTTTACGTAGTTATATTTTATTTAAATCTATCAATTAAATAAAGAAGAAGAGAATGACAAAAATTAAAGATATCATTTGTTTTTTCCGTGTTATCAATATTAGAATTTAAGAAAAACTAAATGTCATTGTCCGTGAAGAGATTAAGTAAAATAAAAAAGTTGTAATTAATGAAAATTCTATATACCTTATTTTTACTTCGTAGAGATCGATTGTTTCGCGTATTTATATATTTGCCTTAATTTACAATATTAATCATAATATCTCCAATATCATATCTTTTTCTTTTTTATACTTTGTACTTAAGCAAAATATTCTACGGAATGAAACATATTTTTCCAGTTGAGTATTATGATTTAATCTTTTTTAAAAGCCGCGTTCAGTGAATGCCACGTGAGGGATCGTAGTTGAAAATTCGTAAGGAAAAGTAATAAATTTAATGGGCCTGTGGATACTTGACCTACCAGGGAACTTAAAATTCCGTGGTCTAGAAAGGCAGTTTCCTGATCTGAAAGAAAAAGCTACTAAAAAAATTAATTTAAATTTTTTGCGATACCATAAAAACAATAAAAATTTACAGGATATACATACTCGGCTAATGGAAATATATATCAGAGAAAATATATCAGAGATTGAGAAAAGATTGATAAAACTAATTGAGAAAACTAATATTAAATAATAAATTGAATAATAATAACATGTTGAAGTTAATTAATGAGATCGCAATTTAATGCAATGTAATAAAAAGAGAGATATAATAAACTGCAATAAACAAAAAGCCACTTACCTACGGTCGTCAGCAACATGTTATCCAGCAGCAGTGCGATGGCGACAATGACAAGAACGAGTCTCCGGGATTGCCGGCATCGCTGCAACCAACCACTCCAATCTCCACCTCCCATTCTTAAATTTTGTCCTTCTTCTGATGTTCTGCAACATTTACAAAACAGACAGCTTTGAAGAGAGATTTGAAAACAATGATAAAAGTGATAAAATTTTGTTACGTTTTGCTTGGTTTTTCTCTATTCTTGTCGAGGCTCAAAGTGAGTAAATAGAAATTACGAGAACTCATTGTATGAATCCCGACGGTAGGTCCTTTCACGAAGATGAACAATCGAGGTCCGTAATACGTTGACATTTTCCCACATTCGCTTCTAAAGATTTTTCCATTAACTTCTCGTTAAGCCGACTACAACTTGTTGGTTTCCTTGTATAGATTCGAAAAGAGGAAGAGCGCGCGCGCACGCGCGCATGTATCTTGTATGTATTCTGTCCAACACTTTACAGAATACTAATTACGTAACACAAATATTCAAATGCACAATATTACAATACAATACATGAGACGAGTTATCTGATAAACTAAAACACTTCACAGAAATTAGATATTAAACAATGTTTTAAAAAAAGATTAGTTTTTACTAAGATACTTATGTTCGTAAAAAAGTATTTTACCAAAATGTTGAATAATTAAGTAAATGAATTAAGTAACAAGTCAATATGTATATTTTTAAGTAATAAATAATATAAAGCAATTAGATGACATTAGATAGATATAATTTTAATTTGTTACAGATCTAATTATCGATGCCGCAAAATACTCCTTTCTTTTTAATGCCAAATCATAAGCAATATTCGGGAACAAAATAGAATCGCTTCCACTAGAAGAAATCTTGAATAGAACGGAAATAGTCTAAATGCCGGAAAAGGTGCATCTGCCTTAACAGAAGATAAAATTGTCTTCACTGAAAACTGTCAATTGTGTGGAAAGTGGTCAAAATTTGCTCCTTCACAATTTCCTTTCGATTTGTGCGAAAATCGTATCTTACTCACTTATCTTCAGAACTAGTTTCGAAACGCTTGCGATGAATGTAATTTCATCTTTTTAGAAATTTTACGAATCCGAATAATAGCTTATTTATTTTTTACTGTCTTTTATTTAATTATTTTTTATTTATTTGTACAAGGCAGAAAATAAAATAATCCATTATAATATTATTTGTAAAATAAATATTTCGTTTGATCATCCTCTTACTTTAGGACTATTTTGTTTCAACTTTGCGCGGTACGGAACTTGTATAGACAGAGATTTAGAGCTTTGTTAATATTAAGAATATTAATTTAATATTTTATATATAT